TGTCTGTGTGTGTGTGTGTGAGTGTGTGTGTGTGTGTGTGTGTGTGTGTGAGTGTGTGTGTTTTAGTGTGTGTGTGTGTGTGTGTGAGTGTGTGTGTTCTAGTGTGTGCGTGTGTGTCTGTGTGTGTGTCTGTGTGTGCGTGTGAGTGAGTGTGTGAGTGTCTGTCTGTCTGTCTGTGTGAGTGTGTGTGTGTCTGTGTGTGCGTGTGTGTGTGTCTGTGTGTGTGTGTTTTAGTGTGTGTGTTTTAGTGTATGCGTGTGTCTGTGTGTGTGTGTGTGTTTTAGTGTGTGCGTGTGTCTGTGTGTGTGTGTGTGTGTGTGTGTGTGTTTTAAGAATCATCGGTGCTTTAAAGAGAACTGATGAACTGTGATTGATTAAATTAAATAGAATTCATCACTCGGTTTTATTTCATCCATTCTATGAGAACCAAACTGAACCTGCTTCAGATAGCCGTGAGTTTTAGGAAACGACTGACCTTCATTTTGCACCAATGGCCTGTTGATTTAAGTTAAAAACATATTTTTTTGAGTTAAAAACATATTTCATATACATATTTATGGTTAAAAATGCCAAGAAATGACAAGGTTTCATAATTAATTTTTAACATTAATTGTATTGTTAATATAAATAAAAATATAAAGAAAGAGAGAGTATGATATATGTATATGTGTGTGTGTGTGTATATATATTCTAATTTATTGAGATGCACCTGTATATACACACACGTATAATTTTTTATTTTAATACACACACACACACACACACACACATATTACATTTAAGAAAATGTCACTTTTTAACCAAAACCATGATATATACAATGTTCACAGGCATGTTTTTAAATCAGTTTTTCAATAATTTTCCAAAAATAAAGCTGATTATATTGGGAATTATAAAATTAAAAATGTCAAATATTTTTGCAATTCTGTACAGAGTAAATTATTCCAGAGATTTTTATTTACTTATTTATTTTTTAAAGATTTTAACAATTGCTCTTTTTGTGATGATCAGCGTGAAACAACAGAACATTTATCTTTCTTTCTTTCTTTCGGGAGGATTTGCATTACTGGCTATTTCCCAAATCCCAGATATTTGGTATATTTCTGAAAAAAAAAAAATGAAATGCATTATTTAACAATCCTTGGAGTGTCAGTGTTGTGGTGTGACTCTCACGCTGTAGCACTGAGGCTGCAGCACCACGCCAAATCACCTCTTCAGGTCGGGCAGGGAAGCCCCTGGCGGGACGCTGAAGTGGAAGCAATGCAGGAGGCGACTGCGAACAGAAAGAGCTCGATTCTGGCCAGAGATTCTCCCACACAGACACACGGACCGGCGCCAAACATCGCTCTTCTTCCCGACGAGTCCAGGAACCGCTCAATGAAGTGATTAAACCACAGCTGTAGAGTGTTTCACAAACAGAAATATACCACAAATAATATATAAAACAACTATACAGAAACATGAAACACTTATAGTCTTTTATATGGCAATAGATTTTATACCTTTGATGGTGCCCACTGCCCAAATAGGGTTTCTGTGACCAAAATGAACGTAGAAAGCAGTGTTGTCTTACCTGGTCTGAATCGGTCAGGCTCGTCCCAGTGTTTGGGTCGTGGTGAATCGCCCACAGCACACAGGTACCTTTAGGCACAGAGTGACCCCCCAAACTGCAGCACAGAGGCATTATGGGAAATCAGACATCTCGCTGTAAACTCAGCATCACTATGACCTATATCACTCTATATCTCCAGTAATCTGTCTCAGTGAAATGAGAGTGAAATGCTCCAAACATATAATGCAGTGACTGAGAGCTGAAGAAATAAAGGCTCCTCAGAAGATGTGAGATGTTCTGGAGGCTTGTGAAGATCATTCCTCCGCTGAGGAACAGTGAAAGTAAAGCTTCTGGAAACAAACGCTCCTCAAAAGATCCCGAGGATCAGATTTGAGACTCTAAAACATGATTGATGGAGAATCAAGTAAAGCTGAGCTGCTTCAGTGCAGTAAGTGTTCATCTGGAGATATTACTGACGTTATTCTGACGCTTACTTGATTAAAATCAGTCAAGATTTGACTACAGTTACACTAAAAGAGCTCTGACTGGATAAAACACTCTAAACTCTCAATCAGAGACAGAAGACATGAGGAGATTGTGTGTGACAGCAGAGTTTGATCATGATCATCATTTAGAGCCTTAATAATATGATATAGCAGCTTCATAGGAGCTTCTTAAGGAGATTATTGCAGCCCTTTATGAAAGGATTTAGTTGCTTTATTTTGTTTGAAATTACCATTTTCTTCCCTTAGTAACAAAAGTGTCCTCTCATGTAATCATATTCAAGCATCAGTTATTCTCAAACGACTCCGCATCAGCTGACGTCTCAGAAGTTTGACAGCAGTGAAATGTTTCCTCGCTCTGCACAGAACCCGGCATCTAATATTCTAATTAAGATTTCTCTCCATCACCATGGTAACCTGCCGGTTTCACTCCGGTATTGCCATG